GAGTGCAGATCGAGTTTCCTGGGCAGCTCTCCTCTCCAAGCAACTGCCGAAAGGGAAAAGAGAAAACAAGACTCCAGGGAAGTTTTTAATGGATCTGGCTGGAAGTGACCTATTTCACTTCCTCTTACATCCCATTGGCCAAGTCAGTCACATGGCCGCACCTGACTCCCAAGGGATGCTGGGAAATGTAGTCCAGCCACGTGGCCTTCCTTCCTTCTTCCTCCAAAATAGTTTGATGGAAAACGAGCCCGTCCGTGCCACGGTGTTACGATTGTCCTAATTATTTCTGTTATTATTCACACCTGGCAGCTTCCTGAACGTATTTCTGCTCCCGCGTTCTTTCTTGGCTCGTTTCCATCCACAGGGTCAGTGGAATGATTTTCAAATCTATTTTGTCTCTATCCCTTCTCCAAAGAAATACGCTCCAAACATTTCCCCATAAGCCATAGAATCGAGCCCAATGCCCTTGGCCTAGCGTTTGCAGAGCTCAAAATGTTGAGCAAGCAGTGGGATGTGGGCATCTGCGGAAATGAACCTTGAAGATCATCCATATTTCAGGACCTGGTCGGGGAGGGTGAGAGTGTCTGCCTGGCATGGCTGGAAGGCTTCCTGGAAGAGGAGGCATTGATGCTGTGGCTTTGAAGAAAGCAAAAGCCAAAAATCCAAAATCCGAGGAGTGGGAGAAGAGGAGGAGGGTATGGCATCAGGAGAGTCAAGAGAATGTTTGGAGAAAGAGGAAACAGCTCTAAGGAATGCCAGAGAGAGATTATAAAGATAGAGGGGTGGGGGGTGGAGTGAGGAAAGCTCCTCTTTGCAGAACAACGCGGGTGGCAGATATAGAGGGAATCTACAAGACTAGGGAAGTCATCATTTTTGCAACCACCAGGGAAGTAACTGATTCAAGGCAGGGGCGTCCATGGATGCAAAAACCACTGGGTGAAAAGTTGTAGGAGACAAGGGGGTCATGCGGGCTTGGAATATCCTTCCCACAGGCTACTTGTCAATTACGAAGGGGAAAAAATATCTGTAATAGATCTGGTCGACGCCACCGGAACCAAGCGATCATGGTTCACATTGTCACCACTAAGGTGACAAACCAGCATCGTGTGCCTCCTGGTACCATGTGCTGAGGAGGACACAGTCTCGCCTCTGAAATCTCACTGCTGGAAATGCAGACCCTGAATCTGGTCATGAGGGACCCTCAGACTGTGGAGATTCTACAAGACAACTGGCCCAGGCCTCTGAAAAATGAGACATGAGACACACAAAAAAGGCAGCGGGTGCTCTGGACTCAAAATGAGAGGGAAGGGCCGGCCCCGTGGCTTAGCGGTTAAGTGCGCGTGCTCCGCTGCTGGCGGCCCAGGTTCGGATCCCGGGCGCGCACCGACGCACCGCTTCTCCGGCCATGCTGAGGCCGCGTCCCACATACAGCAACTAGAAGGAGGTGCAACTATGACACACAACTATCTACTGGGGCTTTGGGGGAAAAATAAATAAATAAAATCTTAAAAAAAAAAAAAAAAGAGAGGAAAGAGATCTGATATGAAAATGCAATGTGTGATCCCCATCAGAGCCTGGATCTGTCCCCACCTCCCCCACCCCCCAAAATTCTCAACTATAAAACATATATTCGGTGAGAATGTAATATGATGCAGCCACTGTAGAAAACAGTGGAGCAATTCCTCAAAAAATTAAACATAGAATTACCATATGATCCAGCATTCCACTTCTGGGTATATACACAAAAGAACTGAAACGGGATCAAAGGAATATTTATTTGTACACCCATGTTCATAGCAGCAGTTGTCACAATAGCCAAAAGATGGGAACGACTTAATGTCTGTCGATGGATGAATGGATGCACACAATGTGGTCCATCCACACACTGGAATATTACTCAGCCATGAAAAGGAAGGAGATTCCAACACCTGCTCCAACGTGGATGGACCTTGAGGACATGACACTCAGTGACGTGAGCCAGACACAGAAGGACAGACACTGTGTGATCCCCTCACAGGAGGCCCCTAGAGGAGTCACATCCACAGAAACAGAAAGTGGATGGTGGGGCCAGGGGCTGGGGGAGGGGACGGGGGAGTCAGTGTTTCATGGGGACAGAGTCGCAGTTTGGGAAGACGGAAAGTTCTGGAGACGGATGGTGGGGATGGTTGCACGACAGTGTGAACGTGCTTCATGCCGCTGAGCTGTGCACTTAAAATGGTTAAGATGGTACATTTTATGTTACGTATATTTTACTATAATAAAAAAGATATAGGAGACAGTGGGGCAGTTTGAATACGGAGCATGTATATATGAGATGATGTTATCACATCTGTGTGAAACCTAAGAGTGATAACGGTACTGTGGTTATCTAGAAGCTTCTAATTCTTAGGGTCGGGGGTGAAGTGCAAACTTCAAAACAGTTTGGGAGAGACAGAAACAGGAACAGAGCAAATCAGGCCAATATCCGTACCGATGGGAGAATCGAGGTCGAAGATCATCTGTCTTTACATCTCTCTTTCCACTCTCTTCCCTCGAATTGGAATTTTTCCAAATAACAAGTCTAAGAATATATAATAAAGACCAGAACGGGGAGGCCACCACTGGCACGGGGACACAGAGGTCCCTGGGACCTTGCTGGTGAGCTGTTGGGGTGGGAGAAGCCAGTAGGAGGGACACAGAGGCTACAACTCATAATCAGCATCTGGCTGGCACCTGGTGCGTTCTGGTGTTCTAAGCGTGGCGCACGTAGATGCTCCTTTAATTCTCTCCAAACCCTAGAGGTGAATACTGTTATCTCCATTTGACAGATGGGGAAACCGAGGCCCAGAGAGGCAGAATCACTTGTCCCAAAGCAGAAGGAAGTAGGGATGGTATAGCAAGCTAGAATAACCCGGGAATGAGTCTGAGTCCCTGGTTCAAAGGTGCCCCCCCTCCAGCCTCCGACACCCCACCTGGGAGGGGCAATCACCAGCTGGCTTATGACCCACTTCTGGGTTCTTGAAACGCTGCTTCCCACCACCCAAGATGAGCAGAGTCCTGAACCCTGTTGTTATATATTCATTCAACAAACACTTGGGGGCTGGGGCAGTGGTGGGGCCCCATGGAGGACTCTGCGGTGGTTCCCCCACCTTAATTTCCCCCAGGCGTGGAGCAGAGCTCCTTTGCAGGGCGTGTGGTCAGGACTAGATGGAGGAAAGGACTGGGGCTGGGGAGCCCAGTGGAGGGTGGGAGGCAAGGCTGGAAGGCTTCCTGGAGGAGGCGGCATTGGCTCTGCAGCTTTGAAGAACACAGCGCTTCTGGACCTAGTTCTGGGGTTGTGGGATGGCCTCTGGAGCCTCAAGGATGCCCAGGCTGGGGCTGAGGACATTGGGGCACGCAAGACCATCCCCACGTCCCTCCTCCCCGCCAAAAAAACCCTTATTGTTAGTTTCTGGTAAGCAAGGCAGCCAGAGGACGCCACCCCAGGGCTGGACCCTTTTGCCCCCTGCAGAGGGAAGGTCACATACACAAGCAGCAGGGGCGCATCCCCACCCTGGCCCAGCAGCGACCCCCTCCACGGAGCCCGGACTCCCACCCTACAAGCTTCTTTGGAGACACCCCAAAAACATAGCTAAAAGTGAGGGGTCTCTCCTATAAAAAAATAATCATAATTAGAAAAGAAACAATTAAATCTGTGCATTCTATCCGCCCCGCCTCCCCCCCAAAAAATTTGATCCAAAACAGTGTCTCAGTTGGCACTGTCCGCCTGGTCTTCCGGAATCTTCCGGGATGTTGCGGGGCTGCCATTCAAGTGCATATGCCCCCTGTCCGCGCGCTAATGGAGAGCCTGCGGCCTGGGTGAGGTAGTGCGGGTATTTTGCAGCCTGCTGGGGCCTGGAGAAATGTTTCCGAGTTATTATCCCAGGAAGATGCACTGTGGACCCACTCCTTCATTCCTGCCCGCCTGGGGCCTTGTGGGCCACGCGAATGCCGTGGGGACCCCATGGGGATTTTAAGTCGAGGAGCTGGCTGGCCTGATTTGTGCCGAGGGTCTTCCTGTCGCTGGAGAATCGGATTGCCAGATAAAATACAGGACACCCAGTTAAACTGGCACATCACGTAAACGGGGAATGATTTTTTAAAAGCATAAGTATATCCCAAAGATGGGGTGGGATATACTTATGCTAACAAAGTTACTGGATGAAATTCCTGGATTTTTATTTGCAGGGAGGACAGAATGCGGGGGACGGGGTCAGGGGTCGGGAGACCCGGGTGCAGATGACCGCACTGATCCAGTGTCTGAGGATGATGGATGGGACCAGGGTAGAGGTGGAGGAGAGGAGAGAAATGGAGGATTTGGGGTCGATTTTGGAGAAGGAGCCCATGTGGCTTGTTGATGGAGTGGACGTGGGCGACGCATAGGCCCCTCACTAGCAGGATTTTGGTTTTTACCCTGAGGGAGGCAGGGGAGCCCCAGAGGGCTGCGCGTGGAGGCGGGACCTGCCTGACCTGGGTAAGAGGCTACAGACCCAGCCAGGGACTCAGCCACCACCTGCCCCCCAGGAACTGCCCCAGCCCGGGTCTCTCCCCCGTCGGCACTGCTGACATGCAGGCCAGGTCATTCTCTGTGGGGGGCCATCCTGGGTGCTGTGGGGGGCTGAGCAGCATCCCTGGCCCCCACCCACTGGATGCCAGGAGCACCCCCAGTGTGACAACCACAGATGTCCCCAGACATGGCCCGGTGCCCCCCAGAGGACAGAATGGCCCCCGACTGAGGACCCCTGGTCTGGACCCTGTAAGGTCTCAGCAAGGAGATGGTTCTGGGGCAAACCAGGGCGGGTCCTGGAAGGGCCTTGTGAGTTCTGTCTTCTCCTGGCCTCCGATGAACTTCCTTGGGATGGGAGAAACGGACGGCCGGAGTTCGGGAAGGTCTAGACTCATCTGAAGGCCATCTGTGCCTGACAAAGAAAGAGCAGCCAGTAGAGTCTGATAAAGCCTTTAATATTTAGAAGGTGGGGCATTTAACTCGGGCAATCCTGGCTCGCGGGGCCCAGGCCCCCCTCCGGCAGCCGGCAGCTGTCCGAGTCCGCGGGGGCGCTGGCGATGGTGATGGGCACCTTGACCTTCACGCTGCTCAGCGACCAGGGCAGGTGCACGGTGCCCACCAGCTCATAGTGGGCGCTCATGATCTCGCCGTCCCCGGGGCCGCCGCTCACGGATAACACCGGCGGGAGGCCGAAGGCGCTGACGATGGTGGTGGTGTCGAAGGGGGTGATCGGGGTGTTGGCTTCCTGCCGGAGCAGCTCGCTGCTCTCCACCCGCCAGCGCCGCTCGGCCTTGGGCGTGAAGCCCTCGTACCGCACGTGGGCGTAGAGGGCCACGATGACCGTCTTGATGCACTTGCTGGTCTGGTTGTGGACCTCCGTGGTGAAGGCGACCCTCTCCCCCGGCGCGAAGGTGTTCTTTTCCATCTGGATTTGGAGGGAGATGGTCCCCTGGCTGCAACAGTTGTAGGAGACCTTCTTCTCAGCCTCCACGATCAGAGGATTCTAGAAGAAATAGGGGGGACGGACAACTGTGAGCGATCGAGGCCACAAGATGCACTCGCCTGCCTAACCTTCCACCACTGTAACAGCCTTGAGCCTTATGGGATGCTCCTAGTAAGAGGCACTATCATGCAATCTGGAGGCTTGGGGTTTGCAGCCAGAAGCCTGAAGTCATCCATCTCCCAGCTGCCTTTAACCAAAGCCCTGTGCCATTGTGCGTCTCAATTTCTTGTCTGGAAAATAGGCCTAAGAAGTCCACAAGACCCTGGCTGCCTCCCCACCTCCGTGACTCAATTGCTGTGTGACCGTGAACAAGTGGCTTGACTTCTCTGAGCCTTGGTTTTCTCGAAGACAGGGAACGTCTTCACAGTCTAAGCGCAAGACCTAGGGCTTCCCCGGGGTGGTTCAGACTTCGGGAGAAAATATCATGGGCTCTGAATGAGGAAAAGAAGACTGCAGAGTTGAATGAGGAAAAGAAGACTGCAGAGTTGAAACTATGTAACGTGTTTAAATGAATGCCCCAAAATGCAGCCTTTGTATCAGCTAGCCACCTTGCTGGATTGCAAATAAAGCCACATACACATTACGTTTAAGGTGTGCCTTGGGTAACATTTTACTTTTTAGGATTTGTGGGTAATATTTTAAAAGATTTGATGTGATGTGGGGTGGGCTGAGAGTGATTTTGCTGTGCCCTGCTTTTGCAGCCTTCTAGTATCTTCTTCCGGAGGAACTTGATACTTTGACAAGAGTGTGTGTGTGTGTTCCCTTTAAGCATACCAGAAAAACAAGAGAGAGAGACAGTATAGTGTAACAAATGTTTCCAAACTTCCCTCCTACTCCCCATTAGTGAAATCGGTTGATAACTTGAAATTGGCCAGGAGGGGAGTGTTGACACCAGGGAAATTGGCAAATTGCACTAGAGCTGGTTGTTAGCATTTCCTAGCACAGCACTGCCCTGTCCTGCTGGCCTGCTCTGTCTGCATTTAGGATGTCTCCCGATTTGCCTCAGATCTCTGCTCATCTAAGAAATAACAGCAGTGTTGCAGAACCATGTGAATGGTTCTGAACGCCACTGAACTGTACACTTAAAAATGGTTAAGATGGGAAATTTCGTTATGCGTGTTTTACCACAATTTAAAAGAAAAATAAATAAAACATCAGAGATCTAGTCGAAGGCCCCGTGGACCCTCCCCAATGCCATGCCCTCACCTCCCTCCCTAGAGGTAACTATTATGCTAAATTTTGAGTTTAGCATATCTATGCATTTTTAAATAAACTTAAACATTATTAGGACTACAACTCAGGTGTAGAAAACCCCACAGAGCAAATGGATAACTTTGTGAATTATTATAATATAGTCAACTCCCTTGTAACTTTCACCCAAGTGAGGAAGTAGAAATTCACCAGTTTCTCCCCCAAAGTCCCTCACATATGTCCAGCCCCCCCACTCTGCCCCAAAGTGCAACTATCCTGGATTTTATAGTCATCACTTTCTTGTAGCTTGCATGTTTATTCTCTTACTACATACTGGTAGGAAAAAGTGTGTGAAGACTGATAGGACAAGCCCAAATGTATCTTCTCACCAGTTTAAGAAATAAAATATTATCAATTAGACTGAAATCTGTTGGGTTCTGTGTGCTTTGCCTCTCGGGCTCTTTCTGGTTCATTTGTTTTCACGATGGCAGCTGAGTGTGTTGCAAAATAATCTATTCACCCATCTCCCCCCATGATGGATATTGACCTTGTTGCCATGGGTTTGGTATCATAAAAGAGCTAGAAGGAGCATCGTGAAGACATTTTTCTTGGGCTTACACACAAGAGTTGCTCTAGGGTGCGAGTTGACAAACTTTTTCTGCAAAGGGCCTGATAATAAATAGTTTAGGCTTTGCAGAACCCATGTATTGTCATATATGATTCCTTTTCTTTTCAGCCACAACTCGTAGCTAAAACATAGATTTTAATATTCTGGCGAAGCACACAAATCTATATGTTTAGCTACATCTAGATCTATGAAAGAGAGATAAGTTTCATGAAATAATGCTTATCCTTACAACACACCTGCTGCTAATTCTATTTAGTCTATTGGTTTAAAAAATGTTGGTTGCGACCCTCTGAATTTAGTTTTCTATTTCTAGTTTATTCTATTCTATTATTTAGTTTTGTAACCCACCAAATTCATGTTCTTCTGCTAAATTCTATTCTATTCTACGTATTTAATACTATTCTATTTTGTCCTAAATATTGATTTTATAAAAATAAAGTTTGTGACAACCTACTAAATTTATATTTTCTGACATATTCTATTCTTTCGTTCTAAAAAGTTGATTGCAATCCACCCAACTGATTTTTTTTTTTTTGATATTTTCTATTCCACTTATTTTATTCTCTGTTCTGGTTTCTTATTTTACAAAAAAAAAAATTGCAACCCACAAAACTGATTTTTTCTGATCGTTTCTATTTTGGTCTTGCCTAATCTTTCATTTGATAAAAACACGCCCTGCAACTCGCTAGACTGATTTTTGCAATCAGCTAATGGGTGGTGACCTGAGGTTTGAAAACCACTGCTCCAGGTGGGCTGTCTGTCCTCCTAGAGACCTCAGGCAGACCCCAGACCCCTCCCGACCTCACCTCCTGCCCTCTGCCCCAGGCTCCCTTCAGCCTTTCTGCTTCCCCCATCTACGGCTAATTGCCAGCAGTTCCATTCTAAACCCCTCCAGTCTTATTCGAAAATTCGTCGCATGCGTTAGGACCCTGCAGGCTATGCAGGAACTTGCTGCTCTAACTCAAGACCAAGCCGGTAGTTCTGTCCCGGTCCTGCAGGAGCTGCCAAAAGGAACCAGCAGTGGCCTAGAGGAGCCCCCCCCACACACCAGGCCAGGCAGGGTGGCCAAGGGGCCCTGATTCCTAAGAATGTTGGGGTGCAAACTCAACATTGGATTTCCTAGATCTGGGAGTTTTTTGGAAACCCTTATTCCTTTGGGCTTATATGAAACTTTGGAGGGATTCATTCATTCAACTAATGTTGATTTGCATCAACTTGGTGCCAAGTTCAAGGAAAACACACAGCAGTGAAGACCAGCCTCGTCCCTGCTCTGGTAGGGGAGACGGACCTATAAATGGCACATAGAAAATGAACGAGGTCATTTCTGATAGGGACAGCGAGGAGGCTGTGGCGGGACTTGAAACGGGGGGACGAGGGGAGTCGGGGTGGAGGGCAACCTTAGAGTCGAAGGTTAGGAAAGGTCTCTGGGACAAGCTTGTCCCCCAAATGGTACGGACTGTTGGAAGAGGTAATGGGTCACGTCCTTCAAAATTCTAAAGGTAGAAAGAGGGGAGGGGATGTGGAGAAATCGGAACCCCCGAACATTGCTGGAGGGAATGTAAAATGAGGCAGCCGTTGTGGAACACTCTGGCATTTCCTCAAAAGATGAAACAGAGCTGCCATCTGCCCAGCAATTCCTTTCCTAGGTAGCTACCCGAGGGAAATGCAAAACATACGTCCACACAAAATGTTTGTTGCCAGTAAGTGGAAACAACCCAAATGGCCATCAGTGGAAGATGGATGAACACAACGTAGTTCGTCCACACACTGGAATACGACGCAGCCATGAAGAGGAGTGCAGCCCTGACACAGCCACACCGTGGATGGACCCTGAACACACGACACTCAGTGAGAGAACCAGACACAGAAGGCCACACGGTGTGTGATCCCATTGATGTGAAATGTCCAGAACAGGCACATCCACAGACAGAAAGTGGGTTCCTGATTGTCAGGGGCTGGGGGAGGGGATGGGGGCTAACTGCTAAGCAGGACAGGGGACGAGGTTTCCTTTTAGGGTGATGGAATGTTCTAGAACTAGAAAGTGGTGATGGCTGCACAACTACGTGAATGCACTAAAAAGCAGAGAATTGCGCACTTTAAATGGGTGAATGATAAGGTATATGAATTATATCTCAGTCAAGCTGTTAAGAAAAAAAAAAGTGGAAGGCGAAAAGCTCCCCTCCCAGGAGAGAGGGTCTGTTGTCAGTTTCTCTGGTCTCTTTCCAGAGACGTTTGTCACACCTGCAAGGAAGTTCATTTCTTGTTTTCAGCACCAACAGCGGGGGCCAGACCTGCTGTGCTGAACTTTGCTTCACTCACTCAACCTAGTAAGGAGGAGATCCTGACAGGGAGAGCTGTGTCATTCTGTCCGTCTGTCTCTCTCTCTCTCTATCTATAGAATATTCCTTTGACTCTATCCTGCTCCTTTAATTCCCTTAGCAAGGACCATTTAGGCTGAGTCCGATGTTTTGCCACTACAAACGGAGCTGTGAGAGGTCAGGTCACATATGGGAAAGAATATCGGTAGGAGAAACTTCTAGAAGGGAAGTGGCAGGGGCAAAGTGCATGTTCGTTTTAATTTGGGTAGATAGGGCTAAATTGCCTTCTGTGAGGGTTGTGACAGTTTATTCGGCCATCAGCGATGTAGGTGAGTGAAGAGGTGGCTTCTGAGTAAAGGGCGGAAGGATCAGGAGGAGGAAGGATAGGAAGGTTGCATCATAGTGTCCTGGGGTAGAGGGCTCAGCCCGTGCAAAGGCCCTGGGGCAGGACTGGGCCTGGCATGTTGGAGGAAGGGCGAGGAGCCCGTGTGGCTGGAGCAGAGGGAGCGAGGGGGAGAGAGGGAGGAGGGAGGGCAGGGAGGGGACAGGGCAGATTGGGCAGGGTCTTGGGGGCTGCGAGGAGGACATGGGGTTTTACCCTGAATGAGATTGGAAACCAGGAGGGCTGTGCACAGAGGAGGGGGGACCTGACTCCCTCTGGCTACACTAAGGACAGATTGTTAGGGGTCAAGCCTCTGCCTCTCCTTGGACCAGAGCAGTAGCCTCTGCTCTTGTCCCCCAGCTCCTGCCCTCCCCCTGCTCCCTGTGGTCTATCTTTGGCAAAGCAGCCAGAAGGAGTCACGCACGACCTGCCCTGTCCCCTCCCTGCCCTCTCTCCTCCCTCTCTCCCCCTCACTCCCTCTGCTCCAGCCACACGGGCCTCCTCGCTGTTCCTCCCACACCCAGGTTGGGTCCTGCCCCAGGGCCTTTGCACAGGCTGTGCCCTCTGGCTGGAACACTTTACCCCCGATACCCCATGGCTCCTCCTCTCCTCTCTCAACTCTGCTAAAATGTCACCTCCTCAAGAGGGCCTCCTTGCCCAGTCTGGTATGTACCCGATGCCAGCATTCTGTCCCAACTCCTCCCTTGTGTCCCCTGCCCTCCAGCTCTGAAGGGAGAACCAGGGAAGGGGCAGAGCCAGCTCGAGGGCACACAGAGAGCAGGTGGCCAAGCGGCCTTGAGTCTGGTCTGCTCATCTCAGGGCTAGCCCACCCCTCCCAGCATCTACCCTTCCTGGGACCCTCTTGGACCGTCCCATGAGGTTGGCCAGGCCAGCAATGACCCTCGTCACCCAGATAATAACACTGGCGGTGGTGGCAGCAGCCACAGGATTTACGGGCCGTGCCCAGGTGCCGTGCAAAGCGGTGGACTTGCATTAAGTCCCCTCACTGCTCCTTCCACGACCCCAGAGGCCGGCACTGTCTCTATGCCCATTTTACAGACGAGAAAACAGAGGCCCAGAGAGGGAACGCCGCTTGCAGAGGGTCACACAGCAGGTGGGTGGGGGCGCTGGGATTTTCACCTGGACCTCGAAAACGAAAACACCAGCCCCCTCTGCCACCACACTCTGATAACAAACGAGTCCCCAGGGAGGTGAAGTGACTTGGGCCAACGTTGCTCCGCCCGCCCCACTTCCGTCTCTGCACCTGGCCTCCAGAAGCCGTCCAGAGCCTTCTGCTGAGGCGGATCGAGGCCACACGGCCCTTCCTTCCCCTGGGACTGAGTCCGCCCCTTTCCTTGCTTCTGCGGGGGGGAGGGAGCACCATCTCCACTGTCTGAGGGCTCAAAGGTCCTGGAGAGTCACATAGTGTCCAGGCCTGTCTCTCGCTCAGGGGGTCACAGTGGACCTCTGCTTGGTCTTGACTTACAGTGTCAAGGACATGCAGGGCCAGATTGTTCTCTGGGGGGGGGCGTCCTGGGCACCGTGGGGTGCTGACAAGCATCCCTGGCCCCCACCCCCTCCAAGCCAGCAGCCCCCTCCCCAGTTGTGACAACCACAGATGTCCCCAGACATTGCCCTGGGGGGCGGAATCACCCTGGACGAGAGCCACCGGCTTAGTTCCTGCCCTGGTTTCTGTGAACTCGCCGGGCCTGGGGGGCTGCCAACATCTTGCCGTCTGGGTCCCCTGCCCGCCACCTCCCCCCTGCCTCCGGGGAGCTCGGGGGACCAGCCCGGCCCCGGCTCCTCCCCCTCCCTACCTGCGACGACGGGCTTTCTCGGTGGAAGTCCGAAGTCCCTTGAACCAACAAGTACATTCTCTTCTTCGCTAGAATGTGCTCCCGGCCCACGCAGGAGGCCTGCACATAGTAGAAGACGTGGCCGAGTTTGCTGGTGAAGGTGGAAGGGAGCCTGGGAGGTAAGTTGAAATGGAAGTCAAAGGTGTGGCTGCCTGCACCTAACCAATTATCTGAAAGCAAAACACACCAACGCCATCAGAAGGTTCTAGAAGGTTTTTTTTTTTTCTCTCATTTTTTTTCTTCCTCTTTATTTTCTGTTTGGGCAGGAAGGTTGTGCTAGACCTGGCCTGTCTCTCCCCGAGCGAGGCTGAACTACGTGCTTTTAGGGCCCTGCACGGCCCATTAATGTTGGGCTGGAGGGGGATGCTCTGGGTGGGTGACGTGGCGGGACCTGCTCAGCTCTGCTCTGGGCCTAAGAAACTGGAGGTCCGCCCTCGGGAGTCAGTTGCACATCCATTCAACAAACACATCTTGAACACTGACGGTGTGTCAGACACACATTCATTCAACAAACACATCTTGAGCACCGACAGTGTGTCAGACCCTGTTTTAGGCAGCGTTGACAGCAGCCAGCAAGGCAGGCAAAATGCCCCACCCGGCATACACTGGGTGCTTAACATTTGCTGATTGAGTGGCAACTGAGGACCGGGGGGGACTCCCTCTTCCCCCACTTCTGTGACCTCCCTGTTTTATTATTTTTTTCTTGCATTTTTCCAAAACCCTCTTGTTACTGTGTTTCCCCCTCCTGCTGGTCAGCCCGAGGACACCAGGGCGTGTGCTTCATTCACCGCTGCGGCCCCAGCCCCTGGCACAGTGTTGTACACAGAAGGTGCTCAATCAACGTTTGTGAAATAAATAAGGAACCTGTCGCAGGCTTGGGCTGACGCTTTTGAGGGGAAATGCTTGGAAATGGGAAACACTCTGCCTCCCCCTGAGGTTGAGGGTGGTACGTGGTGGGGGAGTGTTTTGGTTGCAAGAACCAACACTTATTAAGCACTTACTGTATACCCAGCACTATGCTAAACCCTTGACATGCCATTAAATCACTACGTCATCAAAACAATCTCATGAGGCGGGACTTTCTCCTATTCCCATTATCCCGATGGGTTAACTGAGACATAGACGGGGGACATGATTGCTGGGCATTGAGCCGGGCATGTTGGCATCTGCGTGGCTGGTGTGTCTCCCATCTCTCAAATCTGAGCTTGGCAGTCACCTCTTTGCAGAGACCTCCATGACCACTCTATCTAAAATTTTAAAAATTCAACATTAAACTTTGTTCCGGCCGGCATTGGCCAAGTGTTCTGCGTGACCACGGAACACCCCGGAACGTCCCCATGGACACGTTTTTGGAAAGGACATAGTTCCTGGCCACTCAGGCTCCCTAGTGTCTGTCCGGAGTTTAGATCTGAACCTGGTGGAATTGGGGATTAATTACTCCTTCCCTCAAAGGTCTCCTCTGGTCTTCTGCCTCCAATCTCTGTCCCTGTGACCACTCAACTCCTTATTTTGTCTCCTTGGGTCTCACTGCCAGAGGGAGATTTATCTGTAAAATCACAAGAAAGATGTCTTATGGGCCTCCCACAGGTGGTCATTAGCCTAAACATAGCATTTTCCGAGGGGACGACTTTGAACCTTCATTTTGAATATCTGGGTTCTGGTCGACCCCTTGTGTCTTGTTATTCTCGTGTTATGTGTATGTGGTGGTCATTGCTCTGCACGGCTTCCCTTCTCGGGAGGAACCACGCCTCTGCCCGTTTCTGAGATCCCTGGGGAGTTTGTTGATCGACTAACAGATGTGTTTACCTTCCAGACCCAGGTTCCTATCATGGCTAAGGTTGGCTGCCGGCCTCGTCCTTACCCTCCACCGGGAACGTCTTTGTCTTATGCACGTAGTCAGCCTTGTTGTTGCAAATAACATCTCTGCTGTAATCGCGGGCGGCCCCAATTTCTTCCTTCCACGCCACGTAACCCCTTCCCACGAGCTCTACCTTTACTACGGGGTCCACCAGGGTGCTGTTCAGGGTGAGTACCATCTGCCCTTTGATACTGGAGCCAGCCAGGTAGACTGCATCCTGGGGCAGCACGAGTTCGATTGACTTCACCACCGACATGGGGGTCGGGGTGGTGGAGAAACATCCTCCCCCTCCCCCACGCACTGAGCTGTCCAGTTCCTCGGCCGCAGTGAGGTCACCGGTCTGTGACATCATCCAGCCGGGGTTCCGGGAAGGGGTCCCCCACGGCCAGGAGGGGAGGCAAGGCTGACGTTTGGGGCTGGGCGGCAGCTCAGGAGTCCCCAACTCCCCACTGGTTCCTGAAATAGTAGCGTGACCACTTTTTCCTAGGAGATAACAAATAAATAAAAAGACCCCAGGATTTCTGCCGCAGAGGGGACGCCCCTGTTCTCCTGCCCGGGGTTTAGGGGCCTGGGTGGGAAGAATTCTTCCCACCACCCTGGTGAAGTGGGCATGATGAGCTCCATTTACAGAGGGAGACGCACGGGGAATGAGCCAGAGGCATTTCCTGCTCTATCAGACGGCCCCCCAACATGGTCTGTGCCCCTCACAGCATCCACCTATCAGTTTGGGGTCATACACAGACAATCATTGTCATTTTAATGGCTCTATATTTATACCAGTCTGTGTTAGAAAAAACTTAGAGATGTGGTCTGGACCTGAAATCTAGTGTGTTCTGAAGATGCTCAGAGCATTGTGTTTTCCACCTAAACACGGATGCCATCATGAAGCACCATCTCCCTGCACAATTGACATTTCTCTTACGCCCGCGTCTCCTCTTTTGGATGGGAAGTCTCGCTAGGGTGGGACTTTGTCTCAGTAACCTTGGCTTCCGCCAGACTCAGGGCGTGGTTCGGACAAAGGAGGTCTATAAAAGTTTGTTGAATGACTGAATGACCTCTGAGAGGGTGTCATTTTGCAAAAGGGAAACTGAGGCCCTGTGCACCCTAGGGGTTATTCCTGGTGCTTGATTTGCACACGGGCTGGTTCCCAAAGGGTAGGGACACTGAAGCAGAAGAGGGGCTAGGAAGTGTCCATTCTCCGGATTCTGGCAGGCTCATTTGTTGTCTTTGTTGCTTCTTGCTTTAGATTACGTGATATCTTTCGTGGACATCGACATCTTGTCTCCCTAACTGGTTTATAAGCTTCTTGTGGAGATGTCTGCCATGGTCTCTTATTCATGGTTAATTAACCCAAGCAGCCTCACCGACTTTCTCAAAATGACTAGAGAAGTGGGGCCCTGCATGACCACCCCTCAAGGTCTTTTCTGCAAGGAAAGCCGGATCCTCTCTCTGTTACGTGACTTCAGACATCCAAGGAGCCTGGGTGATGCCCTGTAGCTGATGTACGTGAAGAACGTATTCCCTCTTTTGGCCGTGGTGAGTTTCCGCAACGGCAGGCACACAGATGCAATGTTTTTACCAGGAATATGCCAGGTTCCTGTGGCCGCTGTTGTGAATTTGGAAGATCTCATTTGCCTTTTAAATTCCTGTAGGCCCGCTTGATACCTGCCCACACCTGTGACGTGGTCTCTAAGTGGCTGATGGCTGAGCATCCAGAAATGCCTTCAGTAGCACAAACGGAATCGGGAAGCTGGAGAAACCTAGCAGCATCCACATCTTTTGTACGTTGGAGTATCTGTTTCCTATGGCTGCTCTAACAATTCACCACAAATGTAGTGGCTTCAAACAACACAAATTTGTTCTTGTACGCTTCTGGATGTCAGAAGCCCGAAATGGGTCTTAAGGGGCTAAAATCAAGGTGTCGGCATCATGTCTTTTCCAGCTTCTAGCAGTTTCCTATATTCCTTGCCTTTTGGTCTCATCATTTCAACCTCTGCACTGTTGTCAAATCTCCTTCTCTGTCGCTGACTGTCTCTCTTTTCTTATTAGGATCCTAATGATGACACTGGGCCAACGCGGATAATCTAGGATCATCTCCCCATCTCAAGATCTTTAATCCCACCTGCAAAGTCCCTTTTGCCACAGAAGGTACCATATTGACAGGTTCCAGGGATTAGGATGTGGACATCCTTGGGGGGCCCATTCTTCCGTCTACCATCTGGGGAACAAAAGCAGAACTACCGGTGCCAAGACACAAGGGACTCCGTGACAGTGCTAGAAAAACTCTGTGAAAACATAAATTAGAGCTCATCATTTTTCTGCTCACAGCTGTCCCATGCTCCTCGCTGCTCTCAAGAGAAAGACCAAAGTCCTCCTGGTGGCCTGTGAGTTCTTATATGACACCCCTCTGACCTCACCCCCCTCCCCTCCCCTTTGCTGAGTCCGCCTAGCGAGGCTGGCCTCCTGGCTGCGCGCGGTATAGATATATATACTTTTAAACTTTTTCCGGACTTGGAGCTTGCCCGTCCCTCCTGGACCCATCTGTTCTTGGTTTCTGGTCTCAGATCTCAGCTCAAATGTCATCTGCTCAGGGAGGCCCACCTCTCCACCTCCACCGGAATAGCCTCTCTCCCCACCCCCCACATGGCCGCTGGTCACTCTCCAGCTCCTGTCCCGTCTTCATGGCAAGTGATAGTATCTGAAATGATCAGCTTGATTTATTCATTTCTTGCCTGTGGCCTCGGACAAGAATTGACCCTCCCAGAGACCACGAACGGGGTGGTCTTGCCCACCGTTGGGCCCCCCAGTTTTGAGTACCCTGTCCAGGCGCTCTGTAGGTGCCCAGCGTGGGTCACTGTGTGCCCGCCAAGACTGGCCAGAGCGGAGCAGGCAGGGCGGAGGGGGCAGGGCGGCCCTGCCCGCCTGGACAGCCCGGAGAAGGCGGGAAAACGAGGCGGGAAAAATCAGCAAACAAGCTCTGCGGGTGGGCAGGGTGGGGAGCACTGGCGGGCCCTGACGCTAGGAAATGGGGCTGGGGGCGATCAGGCTGGCCATCGGGGTGCAGGCGGTCTCCTAGAGGGTCCCCCATATTCTCCTGCACTGTTTAGCCATTGATTCCGGCCTTCCTTGTCCTACTGGTCAATGAGTGCCCAGGAAGGGGGGCTGCGGGAACGGACTTTAGAAGGTCAAGGAGTCTCTACTCTGGGGGGGGTCCCTGCCCCAGGGGTCCCTAGGGACCCTGGGGGGCACGCACGGTGGGGGCGCCCAGGTCCCGCCACTGGGCCCCGTTGCACGCTGGGCGCGCCCAGCAGACCGCGCAGGCCTGGGCGGGGCCGTGGCCCGCTGGGCGGAGGGGGGGGTGGACAGAGGCGGGGGCGCCCCCCACCCCCTTTCTAGCTTCCCGCCACTGTGGCGGCCAATCACCAGGCAGGCGCCCGCCCCCGGCGCGGCCTCCCGCGGCCCCGCAACTCCCAAACGCCGAGTTTTCGCGGGAAAAAAATCAGAGCAGCTGGCAGCGCGGCGGGCAGTGGTGGCCGTCCGGGCGCTCCGGGTCGCACGCACGTCCGCGCGGGGTCCGGGCCACGCACGCGGCGCCATCGCCATCCCCAGCCGGGCCAGGCGCGCAGGCAGGCGAGTGCATCGGGGCGGCCGGAGAGGTGAGCGGCCGGGCGGATCGGGCCGGGGGCACCCGGTGCACCGGGCGCGGAGACTTTGCACAACTTTCCGGGGCGGCCCGGGACGCGCAGCCAGCA